AACTAGTTTTTTTGTCAAGTTCAAACAAAGCAAGGGGTCATTGTTACAGGGTCCTCATAAAAGCATGTATTTTTATATTATCTATTTAATTAAAGAAGAATTTAACAATACATTAGAGTGGCATGTTACCATCGTATTAGAAGCATATTTTTTTGCGACTCTTTAAAAAAAATCATTGACCGATTTGCATTAAAAAAGTCTCAAGAGTATGAAAGGAGAGATAACTCAAATTTGAACACTAAGATTTTCAAGCTTTGTTGAAAAATGCTATCTCAAATAGTAATTAAATTTAATATTAATCCTACAGAGCTTGCATTGAAAATAAAAAAAAAACTAAAATTTCAATTAAACTCAACTTGAAAGTCTGAGTGACAAGAAGATATAATTCTACCGAACTGTTTCATAAATGTTTAAATAAAATACGTGGGTAGAATCATATTGAGTTAACAAACCATATTTAATATTTTTCAACAAACTTGCTTTCACGTGCTAGCTATTAAAAATGCATGTTATTTTATATTCATCTGCTATTTTTTTTCACCATTTTTAATAAAATTTCTTGAGCTGTAGTTTTCTACTAATTTAAACCTGACTGAGCTTTTAATAATATTAAAGTTTTAAACAACATATTTAATGAGGATTAAAAACCCGATTTACTTCTGTGTACCTACATAAAACATTTTTTTAATTTGATTTATTCCAATTGTCAAGTTTATCTGTGACAATGTGAATTGGCATAAACTTTTCTATAGTAAAACAATAACAGGGAAAAATGAGTCTGATATGTTTTCAATGTTACTAAAAATTCATTTTAAGTACATTAAAGCTAATATTTGCATTTATCATTATTTATAAAACACAACAACAAATACTGTTTTCTGTATTGTTAGAAGTGATACTTGTATGAAGTTAAAACTTGAATAGGTGTATGTTTGTAATAAAATGACACTATCACAACATGAACTATTTTATGAATCATAACATTTGATTTATTTTTTTGTATCTAATCATCATCAAAGTCTTCTTTAGAGCCTCCCATCTATTTTTCCATTCATATCATACCGGGAACGTATGACCAGTGACAGCAGACTGCATACTGTCCGTTGAGGTTTGAGTGTTGACAGTCGCTGTACCACCAGTCTTCGTGACTAAAGTTTGCAGCACAGTTATAACTACTCCAGTTGTCATTATCCTGATCCTTAGTTCCAACAGTTTGGTGGAAGACTTGATGGCTTGAAGACTTGACATAAATGTTGTAAATAAGAATTCCACTATCCTTTTAATATCAACTTCAGAGTACTTTTGTGTAGAATCAATGTGACTTTTAACGAAGTAATTTTGGTGATGACCTATTACAACGTCTTCCGATTTGTATCCTTTCAATGAACTATTGAACTTGATAACGGTTCATTATCTTCACATTTCATGTATTTGTTTACTTGCTTTTTAAGAATATAGTCTCTACTTTGACAGAATTTACTTATTGTGTGAAACCTTTCGTAAAAACACATGACCTCGTTTCTGATAATGATTTTAAATGGGCTGTTGATGAGATTGGTATGAAATATCTGAAAACAAATGGTTTCTCAATGGAAATGGATTCTACAGATAAGCTTTTTCCAGTATGGAAAAAAACATATGGATGTTTGTAAACACTGTAATATTTTTATTCTCAATGACAGATCCAATGCTTACCCAAATTGTAAATGTACATGTAAACAAACTAGTGTTATAGATTATTGTATAATTAATCTTGAAGTTTAAGAATATGTATGTGATATAATAGTATTACCCTTTTCTACACTATTATCTGATGTTCACACACCTATTGAGATTTTTTATAGTTCTTTGAAAAGGATCTTGTCTTTATTTACGTGTAAATAACCAGAAAAAAGTACAAGGGACTGTTAAAAAATAGCTTCCCGAAAAGAAAGTATCAGTCCATAACTTCATTAAATATAACTAAATATTATCACAGCACTCGAACATGAAATAAAAATACTATAGCAGAAAATTTCACGTCATATTTTAAAGTTATATACCGCATTTTGAGGTAAGTTAAAGAAATCATGATTTAGTGAAGTACAAATTTCCACTACAGGTTAGATTACAATTTTAAAAAAAAAATCTTTGCAAAATAATTTTTGAATTAGCAACTTAAACTGTCCAAGGAATATTCTGTATTGTATGCTGGGATTACAAAACTACCTACTGAGACACTTTATGGTTGAACCAACCCAAGAGAGAATAGAATTTTTAAATTATAATTATTTAACTGCAATGAACTTGGTGATGAATTTCATGACCTATTTAAATGTACTGATGTATCTAGAAAGAAGTCAAGATTTACGTATTTACCAAAATACTTTCAATCGAACTCAAATGTCTTAAAATTTGAAATGCTTTTGAATGTTACAAATATGAATAAACTTATCAATATTTTTGAATAATATTATACATTATACATGCTTCATTTAGTTAATCCCACTCTGTTATTCCTTCTCCATACATGTAATATTTAATGTTTATAATATTCTTAGTACACCTTATTCTATGTTCGCTACAACACCCTTGTCAATTGACCTTGATCTACAATACCTATACTGGATTCCTAAACTTCATAAAAACCCTTACAGAGAAGGATATACTGCCAAGCCAATGTCAAGCTAATGTTCTACCAAGCCGCTATCTTTAGTCATTACACAAATATTAACAGCTGTAAAGTACGAATTTTAGACACACTGTTCTACTGCATATTCTACAAATGGTGTAAATCAGATTAAAAAAACATCAATGACATCACCCATTGTTATTAGTCTACGTATATGTTACCGATTCAATCAGCACTAGTTGGATATTTAAAGATCCAACTGCCTATCGGTTGGATATTTAAATATCCAACTGTGCATAAAAACATGAATAAGCAATGAACAAAAAAGATCAAAGAGTTTTAAAATGTATTTCCAATGCACATGAAAAATAATAATTACTCCAAATTTGTCATACTATTAGAATTTATTTCCAATGCACAGGAATTAATTAATTCGCCTTTTCCCACCATTAGAACCGTGTTAAAAATGCACTTCCAATGCTCACAAAAATAACAATTCCTCTCAATTTTACACTATATTAGATTCTTGTCGTCATTAAAAATATCCAATATTTATGCGATGGTATTTTTACAGAAATGTTTCCAGTCTTAAATTTTCAAAGCAACACTTTTCACACGCTTATAAATACATTTTCACCTTGAACCTTAAACCTCATCACCTCCTGTTGCTGAATATTATTTCGGGGATCCGTTATCAGAAAATCCCCTCAGATTATTTGAGGTTCATCTCTGTTCTCATACTTCTTAAAATAATTTTATAAATTGCCAATCTATTTTTGACACACTGTTTTTATTGCAGATCTTGATATGGATTATTTTCAAAGCAGGTTCCGCATAACACCGACAATCTTTTTATCTGATTTAGAACTACTAGAAGTATTGCCCGAATGGATATCCATAAGATTTCAACACTTTTCCTCAACAAATCTTCATCTTATTCACTTTATCATTGAGTCAAATGCTGACTGACGTTGTTCATGCTAATTGTTAGGCCATTATTTACAAACTGAATTGTCGACGGATTTTACCGTTATTTCCCGATCATGACAAGGAGCACACGGCGGGTGTGACTGGTCGGCAGGGAATGCTCACTAATCCATGGCACCTGATTCCACCTCTGATGTTTGGAGGTCCGGGTTTCCTTTGCTCCTATTTTGTATTGTTTAATGGACTTTTAAGCTTGAATACTAAATTATATGTAATGAAAAATTTCCAAACTTTTATCAAAATTCTGTAGTTTTCTTCTGCTTCCAGGTCAAAATTATTCAAAACACTATCTGAACCTCTCTAAATCTACTTGGGATTGGAGAACATCCTTGATCTGATTTCATGACTGTTCAGTATAATGGAAAGGTTTGAAATGACATTAGCGCCATGCAGTTTCATGCTCACTAGTCCATGAATACAAGGAGTGTTCGATAAGGCTATTGTATTGTGTCTCTGTTGGATATCTAAATGGGATAGATCCTATTGTATTACAGCAAAGTTGGATATATGAATGGGTAAATATTTCATTGGGGCCCAAAGTGGGGAAGTTTTTTAAGTAAGATAAATAACTCGATAGTGTTGAATAGTTTAGAGAAAACACCCCCTCCTCGGGCCTTCAGCCCTCGGAGGGAACGTTTTCTCTAAATTATTCTACACCATCTCGTTATTTACCCATTACTGAGGATTCTAAAAAAAAGTTGATATTAAAAGGATGCTTCGGCTTCTCGTTTATAATATTTATGCATTTTTTTTTCGGAGTATCTATACACTTAACCCAGAAAACATTTTATGAAAAAAAAATGACTATCAAATGACAAGAAAATAATTTTTATTTTTTATTTTCTAAATCCTAATTTAGACCGAAATGCTGTAAATTATTTATAACGACTTTGAAAAAAGAAATTATTGTTTCAAGTTTTTCCATTTCATTAGTAAATAACAATAGGAATCGATGCATTGTTTTAATCTTTAAACAACCCACCCAGTGAAGGCATCTGGTGAGAGAGACATGATCAATCATTTACTGGCAGATCTGAACACTAGATGTATACATAACAGAAAAGAAGAAAATAGTCTGATACCCAGGTACACATTGATTTTCGCTATAAAGTTTAAAATGGAATTAGTCGGACATCTTATGGTGGTCAGTCTGTACCTCATTGGACAAGTCCTCACTCTGCTACAGACATGCTGCTCTCAGTGCGTCGACCCCAAGACTTTAATTACAAACAATCATGCAAATTATTCAGCGCCTAGTTTTAAGCTTTTGAACAATTCTAACTTAACATTGTGTATGATTGTTTGTAACAAATTTAAACTGTGCCTTTCTGTGTATTGGATACAAGAAACAAAGACATGCCGGCTAAACACAAGATCTACCATTAAAAATGACAATGGCTTAATGACCGAAGGCCACTACATTCATGTCAAGCGAGAGAATTTTCCAGAGGTGAGAATAAATTTAAGACGGAAAAAAAGAGTAAAACTGAGTTATTATGATAGAAATGAAACCAATTGTATATTTGAGGATTCACAACTCTTATGTTGAATTATTTTCAGCACGTGGCGGGTGATTGTTTAAACCATACTTGTACAGAAGATTCTATATGTATTCCTGGGAACTGTTCGGCAGTTTTCAAAGGTAAAATATGTTTTCACTTTCCTGTTGGTTGTGATTTTTGGCTTATTTTTCCATTTCCTGATACCGCTTTCTAAAGATCTTTTTATTTCTACTTTGAATTTTTTTTTTTCTCTCAATGACATTTTTTTCAAGAAATCTATCTCCTTTATTAAGCTTTATATACTTCGTTAAATCCCAGTCTTTTATTTTATTTTTCGAGAAGAACAAAATGTACAAATGTAAAACTATGTCCCATTTGAAAACACATCAGATAGAAGAATAAAAACAAACAAGGCTTGATATGTTACAAACAACTGAAAGATATTTACATCTTGAGTGTAAGCAAACTCCTAAACTGACATCTTAATTTATCTTATTTGATTGGTTTAAGAACATTTGTTGAAAAGGACTATTACTCTACTGTATGCATATTTTACGGCCTCCTGTTAACCCAACATAGAAACGGCTGAAATTGCATAAAGACGGATAGAATAAAAATAGCCAACAGCGCAGAATATTGCGATTCACCATGATATTTTACTATAAATTCATTCTAAATGCACATTCATTGTAACTTATAGATATATTGCATGATTTTAACGGGATAACCTTGAAAATTGTTATCCATTGAAAATCATTGCTGTCCTCGGTCGCACCTCGGTCAACAATGGTTTTCGCGTGAAAATTCACAGGTTGTCGAACCCCCTCCCAACAGAAAAGACGTTTTATTTTTGATAATGTCAACACAGACAAAGTAGCAAATCTAAACTTATGTTGCTAAAATAGGACTAAATAGCAAACAGGGGTTTAATGCTTCAAATCATACCGAATAGCAAACAGACAGCTGAGACAAGTGTTTAAATATGTTTAAATACAAACAGACACACTGTAAAAATTAAAGTAGACCTCAGACCAGATATTAAATAAAAACGTAAAGGTGTTGCACAAAAAAGGAACCGGATAACTACATCCGACATTTGAACAAGGAATGAACGGACATCTAGAAGTTTCGAATTCAATTTTTAAAAAAATGCACATCTACCGCTGTTAACTTCATCAGATCAAGTACCAAACAGCAAATCACAACTGATTAAATCAGAATAAATAGCACACATTCTCTAACAAAGTTTGAAAAACATTAAAGCAGTTCCTGACGGACAGGAAAACATGTCAAAGCATGAAAATCACTTGGACTCAAAGGGATAGAGAATATTTGATTATAAATCATCAAATTTTTGACCTGTTTGAAAACTTGGAATGAAGAAAAAGTAAATTAAGCAGTAACAAATTATTTGATTTTTTTAACATATTAAATAGGTTTCAAGGATTGTTCAGAAATTTTAAGTACAGATTCATCAAGAAAAGGACAAGATGGCGTATATGTTATTTACATCGATGACACCTGGAGAGAGGTCTTCTGTGACATGACGACAGATGGAGGAGGGTGGACGGTGAGTAGTCTTTCATTGTCAATGATTAACCATACTCTATAAAAGGTTACATGTAAATCATAAGAAATTTGTCTAACACGCAAATCTATTTGTATTGTTCAAAACAACACTATATTGATTCTTCCAGACAATACCGGATATACAAATGGTAGCTTTGTTATATTAATCTAGGATAAAACAATCTAGTTGTTCATGTTTTCCCCCAATTAAAGACATGAAGCTTTATAATAAATCAAAAAATTTTTGGTACAGATAATTCAGAAACGAGAAGATGGCGACGTTGATTTTTACAGAACATGGAAAGAGTACAAAGAAGGATTTGGCAACGCCTCTAAAAACTATTGGATAGGTAGGTATGCTTGTGTGATTCTTTGTATGTAAGGGATGTTTTAGATTTTACATATTCACAGTGACAAATATCAAAATTAATACAAAATTGACGATTTATCTTCATTTCATGAAGAGTCTCATTGACCCCCCTCCCCCTCTCAGTATGAGCTGATTAAAGTAATTAAGCAGTTCAAACACTTACTAAAACTGCTAAAGTTTTAGTTAAAATCCATGTTTAGAATCATTATCAGCTCTAAAGCTTAGTCCTGACATCTCAGCCTATCGCACTATTACGGAGAGACAAACACAAATGGAAAATAACAGAAAATGAAATAAACAGGAGATTTAAAGTATTAAGTAAAATATCCAATTTGTCACTCGTAAGAAAATTTTTATTTTTTTTTTTTTTCATTTGTTCTTTGAACCTTGACTCTTTTAAATTCTTCATAAAGAGAACTGGTGACGGGAGCCTAGTGGTAGGGCGTTCGCTCAGTAATCGGGAGCCTGGGTTTGATTCTCGTTCGCCGCGCTGCGTCAAATCGAAGTCCTAAACATAGATGGTGACTCTTCCTTCGTCAAGAGAATTATATACTAGTGAAAGTCACGGGTCTTTCGGATGAGATCTTAAAAACAGAAGTGGCGTGTCGAGCTGCGCGTTGGCACGTTTAATTTTAAGAACCCTCATTACTCAGCAGCTCTGAGTGCCGAGTATAGGTTTAAACAACATTTAATCAATCAATCTTCTTTTTAAAGAGATGGAATACGTTTGTTATCCATACCATCTCGATGTGTTTCTAGTACAGGGTGTCCCAGGTATATGGTATATGATACCATTTCAAGATTCTGTAAAACCTAATGAAATGAATATTGAATTGTAACAGATGCCTTATAAATATTGCATATACTGTCCAATTTTATTCACATGATTTGACAGTCATTAAAAAGAAAACTACAAAATGAGTTCACTTTGAAAAATGCTATGGTTTTTAAATGATGCCCTCTAAATAACGTTCTATCTGTGTAATGATGATGTGAAGACATTGCACAAAATTCCTTAATTTGAGACGACAGTGTCTGTCTCGGTAGTTACTTCTTGATTTTCATCAGATGTATAACTTTTATATATGTTAAGGATTCTGGTTTGGGTTTAGTAGCAGTAACCTAAGACTAGGATTGATAATTACAGTTTCAAAATGAGGGTAGCTAGCTCTTTTGGTAATCCATTTTGATTGAAATTACAGTTTTCTTTTCAAAAGTCTGATGTAAATTTGTATCGTTGCAATTTCATAAGTGTGAGAATTTTTTTTTGAATATTTTGTTCAAATAAAAATGTACTTATTCAAATACATGTATTTTTCGAGACATATATCAAAGAAATTAGCCAAGGGATGTGATTGTGGAAGGTATTTCAAATGATATCATATACTTTTGTACACCCTGTATAATGGTAAAAGAGATGTAGTCTTTTTCTAGTAGTGTAAAAAACACTTTTCATTTCTAAAACTGCATTCAGTGAAGGATTTAAATGTAAAAATTAATGCAAGAGAAACACATACAAATAGGAATATAAAAACTGAAAAAAATATTAGTGTCTAAAATATTCCTATTGCTTTGAACATTATGAGACACCTTTAAAATATTCCAGTAGTATTAAGCTATTCTTTATCTGGTCAAGGATCTTATAAGTATTTTATAAGTATTTACTCTAATACCGATGGAATTCCTTTTCACATAGTCTTGGAAACTTGCATCTGATTCTGATTTATCTTTTAAGGAAAGTTATTATGGATGAGACATTATACACTACTTGGGGCCTAATTTGAGTCAATGATTGTACTCTGAGTATGCTCATGTGTTTTGAATCAGCTAGGATACATGAACACCATATGCACGTGAGAGTATATTATTGATACATAAATAAGGGATGTTGACAATAGAAAAGTCTATGTATTTTAAATCTGAATAGAAGGCCACAGCAACAGTGTTTTTTTTTTCTTTCTATTATTAAAACGTTCTGAATGTATTCTGCTTCATAAGAATATATATATATATATATATATATATATATATATATATATATATATATATATATATATATATATATATATATATATATATATATATATATATATATATATATATACCGTTCACGGTAGCTCAGTCGGTAGAGCGCTCGCTTCGTGATCGGAAGGTCGTGAGTTCGCATCTCGGCCGCGACTGACCTAAGTCGATAAAAATGGGTAGCAACTATTCCTTCGCCAGGCGCTCGGCACTTTGAAGTTCGGATGAGACCTTAACAAGTTGCTGTCCTTTAAAAAAGACTGCAATACGTGGACCATATGCATGTGTTTCGAAACGAAATTCGAAGAAAATTTCTAGATTTAGTGAGCTTACAAAGGTGTAATTAAGTTTTTTTCCCCTAATTTTCATCGTTATTTTAGTGTGCTTAATTAGGCTGTAATGATAAGAAAAATCATGACCTTGAAATGATATGAATATGAAATGTTGATCTAGATATCTATCACAATTGTAAATTAGCCTTTAAAATTAACAACAGAATTAAAAGAGGCTGAAGCGTGCAGGTATCGTAATCTCCATTGGTGCATCCAGGGGGGGGGGGGGGGGTTCGGGTGTTGGAACCCCCTATATTTTTGTAGAAAGAGGAAGACAGAGAGAGAATGTTTATTCTGTAATATATATATATAAATATATATATATATATATATATATATATATATATATATATATATATATATATATATATATATATATATATATATATATATATATATATATATATATATATATATATATATATTAATCTAGTATTTTCAATAAAATATTAAGTACTTCAATCTCTGCCCTTTCTGCCCACTAGATAGAGTTTTGCTTATTGCTTCCTCCGTGTACCTTTACCGGTTCCGGGCCTCGACCACCCACATGTAACATGAAATATTTTACTTTGATATCATCGGAAGATTCCAGCGAACTAGCGTACGGCTATGCCATTTTTGGACCATCTTCTAAAGTAACTAACTTTAAGAAGTATGCATAAAAAGTCATGAAAGGGAGTATCCATAAGAGAATATTATCCTTTACAAAAAATTTGATATTTCTTATGCAAAATTTGTACATGGCAATTAATTGTCATGTACAAATTTTGCCTAAGAAATATCAAAATTTTTGTAAAGGACAATATTTATCTCCTTACATTATGGCGATATTTTAATCAATGAAGAGAAAGGTTCAAAATGTCCCGTAGTATGTGGGGGAGGGGGGCTCACTTTTTCTTAAAAAAATCTTTTGTTAGAATTTGAATATATAAGTTTTAATTTGCATTGGAAGCTCCCTCGCACTTTTTGTCGCGGAAAGGTTCAAAATACAGAAAATCAAACATTTAAAAGAAATGAAAATGTACCGAAAAGTTAGACGAAGCCCCCCCCCCCCCCCAATAGGATTTTACAAGGTGGTGCACAGATTGTTAATTTATTTATTTATTTCTGCTTGTCAACTCTTTTTGGAAGTTGCCCCCTTTGAAAATTAAACCGTTGCTACGGGCTTGAACGTAAGTGCCTGTGCTGTGACTTACAACCCCCTTTACTAAAGGGTCTCGAGTTATCTTAAACAATTAATACTAAGTTATCGATTAACTCGATCATTTAAAAACACAAAAAAAGATTAATTTTGTGTGTTTTTTCTTCTCTGTCTTTTTTAAATAACAGAATGGTTAATATACAACACCTGCAATCGTAACTTCTCGGCAGAAGGTCTGAGAAGATGCGATTGACAATCTTGTCGTACGTGTGTAGACCTAGGCTATTTGGTCTTGCAAGAACAGGTGTGAGTACTGTTTGCTAGTGACGCTTAGACTGGTGACGGTATTTGCTACAGACATAAAGAACTATACACCAGTTTCATAACATGTACAGTTTTTTTTCTAGTGAAAATTGGAGTAAAGTAAATGGGGTAACCCATATCTATTCTTGTTACAACGACCGTCAATGCATCCATGAACGAGTTCATTGGTTACTCTGAAAGGTGGCACAGGTTTACCTTTCGTTAACATTTTCTACAATGATCTGCCTACTTTGAGTGATTGTACTTTCATAGCAAAATGTTAAATTTTATTCCCGGTTGGCCTATAGTTTTGTCATTTAACTGAAAAAAAATCGGGCTATTTCGATACATGTAATGCTTAACGACTGGGACTTGACATCTGTACTAGATTTATACGGAAGTATCCTGTCATTGGAAAGATAGATGGTACACGTGTAGCACAGATCTGTAGTACGCAGAATTTTCTCTTTTTTTTTTTTTTTTTTTTTTTGATGTTTCTCCCTCTCCCCCACATGGAAAAACATTGCTTCAGACCTTTATCAAGCTATATTTGGATTGCTGTCTATCAAATTATTTTGCAGACCTTGATGCACAAAACTAATGCCGGTAAACATGGCAAAGACTATCTTTTAAAACTTAGAGTGGTTTTAATTCAACATGTTCAAGCGGTTAAGCTATCTCTATAAGTTCTTCCTACTTATTTAAAATGCTTGTACCATAGAATTTAGTTTGTATATAAGGATATATGTATTAAAGAGTAATTCAGATCTTGGTTACGCCAAAGAATAGATAAATATGATGCGCAGATTTTAGAGCGAAGTTTGCCAATGATTGGCATATTCTAATTCGAAGAGGGCGAATTGTTCTACGGGCAAGTTAACTTAGAGGCGAATTCTCTAGCATCCTCGCGCATGCGTAGCCTGACGTAAGCCCATGGCATCCGGTTTAACTCCGCTAATATATTTTCTGCGTAGACCTCAGGGTCCACGCAAAAACCGAGGCCCCGTGTCACGGCAGGCGTTGGCACGATAAAGATCCCTCACTGCTCAATGGCCCTGAGTGCCGAGTAAATGTCAAAATTTGAGGTCCTTCACCGGTATATGGTGACGTCTCTATATGAGTGAAAAATTCTCGAATTGGACGTTAACAACATACAATCAATCAATCATAAGAATATATAGAGGGTTGATAAAGTAGTACAACAAATACCCATCTGATTTCCCCTGAAATTTGTCTTTAAAGATTACATATATATTGTCAATAACGAACTCTGAGGAATAAATATATAGTTGATTACTATATTTGTTTACATCTTTCACAAAGGGAATCAAGCAATCCACGCCCTAACAAAGGATAAAAACCAAGAACTCCGAATTGATTTCCAGAGACATAATGGAGAACAGGCCTCTGCTGTGTATACCACATTTTACATCGGAGATGAAGACAGTAAATATACCCTTACAGTATCTGGATACAACGGTACAGCGGGTGAGAAAAGAATTATGACACGTCAGGAAAATTCACAGCTTCATTTATCATATTCAAAAATTATATTAAATAAAAAAGCACGGATTTGAAGTGATACATTTTTTGGACAATTTTCGATAAAGTGCAAAGACAAACGGAGAAGTTAAAATATGTCATAATTTCTATGTAAAGAAATTGGCCATTGTATCTAAAATCCTTTAAAAACTCAGTTTTACCTCAACGACTTTCAATTATAAACATGAAAATATCAAAATACAAGTAGTATGAAGTACAGAAATAAAAATAAAAAGATCAGTATGTTCTGTTGTTTTCTTTTCAGTACTTGCATAAAGTCTGATCTTTATATTATTATGGGAGATTGTTCTACTTGATCGATATAGGGCTCACGGAAGGTGTGACCTGTCCGTAAGGGATGCTTACTCCTCCTATGCACCTGATACTCCCCTGGAATTTCCGGGGGTCCTTGCTTATGTCCTGGTTACAGACTTGTATTATTTGTAGTTTTAATGAGCTCGAACGCTTTTCGTTATCCTAACCCTTTTCATTCTATAAAATGTTGATATGCACATTATTCCTTTTGAGCAGAACATTTAGTTTCAAATTTTCTAAAGGCTCTTGGAAGTTTTTTCATGTATCATCATCTGATAAACATCATTTCTTGAATATTTTGGTGCACATATTACCGACTTTACTCCTTACCTATTATTTTAACGAAAGACTTTGGTAAGCATTCGGTAGACCCCCCTATGTATCTTTGTCAAGTTTTAAATGAAAATTATGGAATTAGTACTTTACAATTTTTTTGTGGATGTGTTTCACAGTCCAGTAAAATGTAACAATAATTCGCCGTACATCATAACGTCCATCACGCCACGAAGTAAGGGACTGAACCTCACGTCGCGTCGCTGGTTTGATTACCACTTGCGTTGTGTGAGAAAACACTATTACCCTCTAAATGATAAAACCACGCCCTCCAGCGTGACAAAACGTAGGAAAAGTCAGCATTTCCTGAAAACGATGTTCGTTATCTTCACCCTTTTCCTTGATTTTCCTAAAATGTTGACTAGACAAACTTTTTGCGCATACGATACACATTTATGTGCATTAATATACACAATCATCTCGGTTTACGTTGGCTTTTTGGGGATGAAAATTTTTAATGATACTCTTAATACATACCATATGTGTATGTTAATTTAGGAAGACTAAGACGTCCATGTTATCTCTACTCTGTTCCAGGTGACAGTTTGTCTTGGCACAATGGTATGAGATTCAGCACTAAAGATCAGGAAAATGATATTGACAGTAGCCGTAACTGTGCTACAACATTTCACGGGGCCTGGTGGTACAGATACTGTTTCCAATCAAACCTGAACAGAGAGTATGCACAGTCTGCGGCGAATGATCCTCGGTATGCGACACGGTGGCACTTCAAACGGTCTCATGAAGCATTACAAAAAACGGTGATGATGATAAGACAAAATTAATAGTATTATTCAGTGACTCTACAAAAACATGCCCAATTAAGAATTTTTTATTCCGCTTACAAATTCACCTTTGTGATATCTTTACTGTGATTGATTTCAACTCATTGACACATTGTTTTGTAAATACGAGGGCCGTTCAAAATGCGGTCTCTGATATTATTTACTCTTTAAGACGTCATATAGAATTGAAATTTCACAGAAGCATATTTCTTTACGATTCAAGTAAATTCGTTGTATAACGTTTTCATTTTATTTCATTTCCCCTAAAATTATTGCTGTTATGATACTGCTGTTGGTGATGTACGGAGCAAGACAAAATTTTGAAAATTAAAGAACAAACAAACAAACAAACACACAGTATCCAACTCCTACTCATTTATTTTCTATAATTCGTGATGCTATTCAACAATTTTCTCTAAAATTTCTTTTAATACTTCTAATACTTTAATAATACTATACTAGTTTTATAGTTTTTAAGTTGGACCAGAAATAGTATATGGATGTTTGTGCTGAATGGAAGAGGTAACCCAAACCGTACAGTATCAAGTACTAAAGAAACATGTTGAGAAAGTCAAAAGTCACATTTTACAAATGCCTGTAACGACAAAGATTTTACTGCACCGTGACTTCATGATATGTTCGGTTAAATCATAACAATTTACAGCATCTGGTATGAAATTTTGATAACCATATAAGTAATGATTCTATAATACATGTATTAAGCTTGCATATTTACTTAATAAGGTCATCAAATATTATTTTTCTTTACAACAAATTAGCGTTATTTTTGAACGGACCTCAAGTTGGTATACAATGATACAAATGATTTATTGCCATTAAAGTGCCCCGAGAGGCATACAACAATGAAACATGTAAAATAAATATGTATAGTACAGAGATTTGTATAAAAAGTACAGACAACAACAGAAGGTACAAAGAGACGATGTTACAAGAAGGTATGGAAATCTGTTGCATTGTAAAGGATTTTTTAAAAATCTTTTACTCATATAACATTAACAATTGTACTTAAATATGTTCCACCTCTCACCTAATGTGATTGTCCCAAGAAGGATATACAATATATAAGTTCAATTACATCTATATTATAAATTATGAATAATATATAGCAGTGTTAATGATTGGGGGGAAAAATCATAATACAGTTTTATAAATAAAAAAAGATATCAATTAATCACAATTCAGGTAAACAAATAAAATTTATCATTTGGTTGTAGGTAAGAAAAAAATTGTAACATTCTTCATTTACAACGTTCATTAATTTTTGCCTGTCCTCCTTGTGTTTCTCACAAAATAATAAAAAAAAAAATGCTATCCATCACAAACAACATTTGAACTACAGTGTTGACAAATTCGTAGATGTAGTGGAAGTTTCTTATATCTACCCATTTCGATAGTTAGTCGATGACACGAGATTCTATTTCTTGTAAAACTTTTTCGATAATCAGCATTATTAATCAAAGACAAATAACCTTCCATTTGAAGAGAATATTTAATGTTAAGATATGTCCTGAGTTTTAAAACTGTGAGCTGTTTTTCTTTTTTTTTTTTTTTTTATCTACACTCCAAGACTTTAATTAGAAATGCTGACTTAAGAAGAGTATGAATATGATTTTTGAAAAATCTTAGCTGGTGTCTTTTTTAAACATTTTTTTTTTTTATCTCGGGAATCTTATCCAGAATAAAACTAATACAGCCAAAAAGGGAAGGAGCATTTTGACCATGTAGATGTTTGGATGTAGCATATGCGTTTAAGATAATTTCATTATCCGAAGATTCCATATTTTCTAGCCGGTGCCGGTAGTTTTGCATGCTCCTTAAAATTTTGTAAATTAGTATTAATCTTCCAAGTTCAGATAACACAGCTAAATCAGCTGGTTTTCTATTAACATCAAGTACACTTTTACAAAATTTAGTGTGCAGTTTTTCACATTTGGAGTCTTTCAAAATTGCTAAAAATTTCTTATTTTAACTGAACGTAGTAGACTATGGATTGAAAGCACCCCAAACCTCACTTCCATACATCAAAATTGGCACAATTGTGTGATCAAATAAATGAACTGTTTTTTATACCTGGACTTAATTTTATGAACTCCTTATTCAATTTGTAATATGCTTTTAATGGGTTTTTTTATTCAATCCATCTTGTGTCAAAGTGAATGAACCAAACGCTGAACAAAGAAGACCAAGATATTTATAATTTTGAACTGAATCAAGAATTATATTATTGAGCAGAACATTTTCTTTTATGCTTTTCCCAGCTCTGTTGATATTGTTTTAGTCTTAACAGGATTAAGTGTGAGACACATGTCACAGCAATATTTATTAAGCTTATCAAGTCTATCTTGTAAACCCATTGCAGAAGATCATCAGCATGCAATAAACAATGAGATGGCTTGTTGTTTAGTATAAAACACAATCCCTTATATATATGCAGTTAAAGTTCTGATACGAACAAAATGTAAAGTTAAAAAAAAACAACAAATTCCACTGCAAATCTTAATGTCTTTTCATTTATTTACAACTCTTCTAGCAGTTTTTGTTCTAGAAAATCTAAACAGTTGCAATACGTTTGATGTATTTTGATGACTCTAGTCACAATTACCATAAGTTTTTCAGTTGATGATTTACCTTGAAAATCAAGTAAAATAATTTCATTTTGCATTCCCAAAAATGCTATTTTATTTTGATAATAATACTACAAAATATAGGGACCTTTTGAATTCCAGCGAATTTCCTCCGGAATTTCCGAGACCTGAACTGTATTGTTTGTAGATTTTTTGAGATCTGTAACTGGTCGTTATCTTTTTTTTCCTTTTGCATTAAATACTTTGCTTGTTTACTTGTTTGCTAAGATAGAAGTTACGTGTACAGGGATATGTATTAATGCATTATCAGTTGATCATTATCAGAATAAGTGACTGCTTGTTACTGAGTGAACTAGTTTTGCTTTTAGAGATATTGATTGGAAAGCGCAATACTCAAATGTAGAGCTGTACGTGTTAATTTCTTTTTATGTAATAAATACCGATTAGTAATGGTTCCCGATATTATGCATATGATGTCTTTACCAACTGCATTAAAAATTCATCGTTAGTGTGTGTGTGTGTATGTGAATATGATAATAGAGTGTCAGCATTTAAAAATAAAACATGATAGATATTGGGAATATAACTTAACGTTTAAAACTTTCATTTTTAAGGTGCGTGTGTGTATTTAAAGAGAATACCAGCATTTATAAATAAAAAAGTGTTTTTCTTTGAAAAATATTGGGAATAAATGTGGCCCTAAATACTCTCTAATACAGTAATGATTAAGTTTTTTTTTATTGTTTTCGTTGTTAATTCTGTGTGTTTTTGATCAGAACTATGGCACAACTGTTATTCATTTCTTCTGTTCTTTGAAGAACTTAAATACGGTTCCCTTTTTACTCAGATTTACAGTTAGCATTTTAACTGTATTTCTTGCTTTCATGAACGATGAGGATAACGAACATTAATCTTGTAATCTTGCTTAAAAGTAAAAAAAAATAATACAATGGAAAACAGAGCAAACGTGGACCCTTCAGGTAATCGAAGGTGAGATCAGGTGCCATGGAGGAGAAAGCATTCCCTGTCGACCCCCCACCATGATCGGGTAAATTGGGCTATTCCAACAATTATGAAAGAAATGGCCCAACAACTTTAATTAGCTGACATTTGACCTTTGTATTTGCAAGCACTGTCTGTATGAAAGTTAATGACCTAACAATTTGTATGAAAGACACAAGTCAACATTGGATCAATCGATAGATTGTATTTCAAACAAGGTGATTGATTGGACCATATCATTTGCGAAATTTTGTTTAAATTGAGATTGTTGATATCCTTTAATCATGAACATGAGTTTATCAGTAATCTTGCTCGGTTAAGAATAATGCATTTGCGTATCTAATCGACAGGAAGACATCACACTTTATAGTGTTTTATTGGGGTCGTTTGCTCATCTCAATTTGTAATGTTTATTTGGACTTCAAATCATTAGACCATTCTTGTCACACTAAATTGTCTTAGGATTTTTCGTAGTCTCGTTTAAAGTCATCATTTAGCAAGTTCTATGGTCGATACAATGACCTTGCCAGCAAAACAATCTCTGTTTATGTCGAATGCTGACTGAAGTTTTTCATACTACTTGTTAGACCATTATCTACACACTGAATTGTTCACGGATTTTTACGTTTTCCGTTTTCCCGGTCTGGACAAGGAGCACACTGCGGTTGTGACAGGTCGAAGGCATATGCTTACTCCTACATGGCAGTGGATCCCACCTCTGTTTTTAGAGGTTTGTATAATTATATGTACATGGCAGTGGATCCCACCTCTGTTCGTAGAGGTTTGTATAATTATTTGTACATGGCAGTTGATCCCACCTATGTTATTAGAGGTTTGTATAATTATATGTACATGGCAGTTGATCCCACCTCTGTTTGTAGAGGTTTGTATTGTATCCCACCTCTGTTTGTAGAGGTTTGTATTGTATCCCACCTCTGTTTGTAGAGGTTTGTATTGTATCCCACCTCTGTTTGTAGAGGTTTGCATTGTATCCCACCTCTGTTTGTAGAGGTTTGTATTGTATCCCACCTCTGTTTGTAGAGGTTTGTATTGTATCCCACCTCTGTTTGTAGAGGTTTGTATTGTATCCCACCTCTGTTTGTAGACGTTTGTATTGTATCCCACCTCTGTTATTAGAGGTTTGTATTGTATCCCACCTCTGTTTGTAGAGGTTTGTATTGTATCCCACCTCTGTTTGTAGAGGTTTGTATTGTATCCCACCTCTGTTTGTAGAGGTTTGTATTGTATCCCACCTCTGTTTGTAGAGGTTTGTATTGTATCCCACCTCTGTTTGTAGAGGTTTGTATTGTATCCCACCTCTGTTTGTAGAGGTTTGTATTGTATCCCACCTCTGTTTGTAGAGGTTTGTATTGTATCCCACCTCTGTTTGTA